AGTAATAGCATAGTAAAAATAGGTAAGTCCAAATGCATGTTTAGATAAAACTCTGAAAGTAGTTGTTACTTATTTCTTTGATGCAGAAAACATGCGAATAATGTTGATCATAAGTAAGAACAAGTAGATATCAGAATTTTGATATTTCCCGTTCAGAATGTATGTTTGTTACGTTACATGTGTGCATCAGGAATATGTAATATAAAGCTTCTGCTCATATCTGTGAAAAAGAAAAATCTAAAAGAAAAATTAGGGTTTCTTAAAATATGTCATCTATATTACTTTGAGTAAGAAAGTCAAAGTTTAACTTTTTAAACAAAAATCTATGTGCAATTTATGCAATTAATATATCTTAACAGAAGAAAATGTTTTCTTCTCTGTACTTAGAAGATTTCTATTAGTAGATGGAGATTTATAGACATAACTCTTGATTCAGGTTGTGTTTATGTCTATGGCCTATACAATTTTCCCTTGCAATTGGACTTGTCTATCTCATATTGGCCTTTTTAGCCACCAGCGCACTTGTAACAAATGTGGGTAGAGCCCTTCCAAAATCTTCGTTCGCAAAGCCCAGCCATGAATGATGATACAATTTTCTCTTACAATGAAGTTTTAACAGAGAAATTATGTTAATCTTTTGTGATAGCTTTAGAACCTTCGTTTTACTTTCTTGTTATTTTTTTTAGATATGGTTAGACGTTACTAACTATGCTTAGAGAAACCCTCTTCCCAAGCAATTACTTCCAAATCTTCAATTTCAGTTCTTGTAGTACAGCCTTTCAGTTTCTTGGGTTGTATGACAGCTGTTACATTCCAGAATATACTTCTAAAGGCTCAGTCAATTCCCAGAGTGAAACACTTTCATATTGCGGAGTTGCTGATTGGTAGAAATTGCCTATGGAAAGGAAGTTTCACAAGCCAGCATTGCCATGTTCATGAACATTTTTTTGTTTGAGAAATTCCATTATTTTCTCTTAGATTAAAAGGATATCTTCTGTCTTCTTTCCTGGCAGTCTTTCAGAATGCTTTCTTGGTTTTGTATGCAGAAAGTGAATGGTCAGCTTCCTCTTCTAATTGTTGCTTAGTCACTCTTCTCCTTCAGTTCTTGCAGTTGCTTTCTTATTAGATATCATGTCCCCTGTCTTTTAATAGTAGTAAAAGTTCAAATATTAGTAGGCATTCCTCTTTAAAATTTCTTAAACTTTGAAAGCAGAAGTGTATTATGATAAAAGCGTCTCTTTAAATTCAGGTTCATCCACTCTTGTGTCCTGGGACCAGACCTTCCGCGTATGAGTGAAGCAAATGGTGCTTATAGCTGTTAAAATAAGGTGCATTATTACAATTTAGGAATGTTATAGCAAAGGAGTGTATCATTAAGGGTACTTCTTTTATCATATTAGACATTTCATATTATAGTCTGCTGTAAGGACTTGTGTGTTGTTTCACTCACTGTAAAAGACAGAAGTAAACAGCAACTTCTTAGAGCTGTAAAACCACAGGATGTGACTTTGCTCAAAAAAGCCTCAAGAGCCTGAAAGATTTTGTAATGTACATGAAATATATTCTTTGTGTAAGTTTTCACAGGAAACCTTTTGGAACTTATCTAAAAACCTGAAATTCGAATGAAAAAATGTTCACAGCAGTAGACTATGTATTCTGTATTTTCTGATAATCTGTTTGAGCTTACAAAAGGAAGACGTCGATCAGTCCTTAGTTTATTCTATATCAAGAATGTTAAAATGTCATGTTTTAGTTGTAGAACCTGACAGAAGTGAATTGCAACTGTGGTGTTAAGCTTTAGCTAAATGTACTGCTAATTTATGCTTGTGGACAACTCTCTTAATTGTTTCCTTCTCCCTCCTTGCTACTGAGCTAGAGAGAATATTGGAATTCAAGCCAGTCCCAAGTAAATCTGAATTTTTTCAAACATAAAATCATAGTAGAACTTAAAAATTATGAGAAGACTTGAGGAAATGGAAATAGTTTTCACCTTGATATTAGCACCCCATGGGAGTCTTTCAGTAGTTGTAATCCAATATATTACCTGATTCTTTCTGTAATTGTAAATATTAATGAGTATACTTCAGCTGTCTTATGAGTCACTGTAAACAAACCATTCTATTTTGTTACAATGGTAATTCAAAAACCAGCGCAACCAAACTGCTTGGTTGGCGGTGAGTTTGAAAGTTGTGCCACTGCTCCTTTTGTATGCTTCCACATCAGCTGGTAAATGGAGGAAGAAACATACAGGTTTGCTGTCTTTAAGGCACCACTCTTCATCCAAGTCACTGCTACTGGTCTATTTTTAGGCTTCCCAGATCCAAAGTTACATTAGCTATGCCAGAATAATATTGCATGTCATCAGTATAGGGTCATGGATTGAAGGTCCATAGTGCAGTATAGCCTAAGCAATGTGTTGATCCCTTGGAATCAGAAATCAGAGAACTGATTGCTTATACCTTTAGGGGACTGTATTCAGCGCACCTGCTTATGTCACAAGTAATGTTGTGCACAACTTGACTAGAAAGTCGGAGGTCTCAAGGGTGTGAAATCATTAAGTCATTTTTCCTGTGAGCTGAGATCAACAGAAGCTGCAACGCCTATGTAAACAAGTGACTTGAATAGCTCTAGTGCTTCCAGGAACTGGAAGGCGAGATGAGAGGGCTTGAGATCAGTCCTGCATGTTTCAGGTCTTTATTTCTTTACAGAGCCCAAAAGTGCCCTTCACTTAAATTGGCTTTTTGTTTCAGTTTGGTTTGGTTTGTTGTTTTGTTTTGTTTTGTTTTTTTTTTGTTAACATATGACTTCTGAGCAGAAACTTGACATAGACTGCGCATTTAAGAATCGTGGCAACTTCCTTCTGTTTTTCCAAAAGCCTCCTCTAGAGGCGCTTTTAGTGCAAAACCAGAAGAAACTAGGCAGCTGTTATCAGCTAGGGCCATTTGGAAAAACTTATTTTTTAAGATGTAATGAAGCTGTGTGCCAGATGTCACGATTACCACTCTTCCCAACTGATAATTTGTTTATTTACTTATAGGCATGAGGGCTTGCCGCATACTTATAGGCAATGCTCACACCTTAAGTTTGTTTGTCCTTCATTAGATCTCAACATTTTATGGACACTGTATCCAATACAGAATTTTCAGTACAGTAAGCAGTCACTGAGATTAGTATTTAGCTATTAGAAATTAAACCAACTGTTACTTGGTGCTTATAGCTACAAGAGAATTTCAGTACTTCTAACTTGGTTCTTAAAGTTGTTGTCAGCCTGTACGGTGTGAGATGTGAGGGCTCCTCAGAGGCTCAGTACAGTATCATATGATTCTCAGAGAATCTCCACTTAAGAGACTACATGAGAAATAAGCTGCCCTGGTCCCAGGGAGCTGAAGGAATGTTAAGAACCTAAATGATTTTGTCTTTAAGCAGGTCAGAGTCTTTCTGGCTGCAGCCCAGTCTGGATGAAATAGTTCAGCTGAGGTGAATTGAAACCACTGACCTGCTGCAGATACACACATATTCAGACCTGCTGCGTTTTGGCAATTGTTTCATTCTGGTCTATCTCTGTGGAACATCCTTGTTGACTTATCAGGCTAAACTTCTAGCAAGGTCAAAGTAGGGGTTTTTTTTCCTAATGATGAAACCAATTTTTTTTTTCTCATGGTGAAACCCATTAGAGATGTTTTCTGCAAGCATGAACCCTACAGTCAGATACTTGAATTGCACTTCTTGCTTGTCATGATAGAACATCCTAGGAGGAATGTCTGAAAGAGATAACATACAGAAGGAAACATCTTACAAAGTGTGACTGTGTACTCCACATTTCACAGAAGTGACAGCTCACCCTAACTGAACTCTTCAGTCTGTCAGATGAGGAAGCCCATTCTTGCATAAGAACACAAGGCTAATCCCTGAGCGTCCTCATAAGAGCCTTTTTTATGTCATTAATAGTGCATGGTGCACAAGTAATGCTTCATCTGCTTTGCCTCTTCAAGTGCTATTTTCTATTTTACAGATTTCTTTTGTATGCACAAAAGCTTACAAAATATTAGCATTAATATATACACTATGCATATGTTTACATACACATATACCTACAGTGTCATATGTACATGCACATCTACTATAGGCTGATACAAATTATTGATTTTCTTTGTGCTAAAGCAATGTATGTAAGAAGGCTGTCCTCAGAGGTAAATGCTTGAAATGTCTTGCTGTTAAGTTTTTGTTTGATGACTTCTCAATTAGAATTAATATCCTGATTTTGGAGCTTTGGACAGCTACTGTGCTCTAGTTGGACCCATTATTTCAGCTACTGGAAGGAGCTTTGCTGTTAGTGATTTTTCATTTGAAGAACACTTTCTTATTCTGCATTTTCTCAGAGTAATGAACTTCATAGTAGTATCTTTTCTTGCCACACTAATTTGTATGACAGGAAGGAATTAATTCTAGCTCATGAAACAATCTTGTAGTTCAGCCATTTTCATTATTTCATCGGCATATGTATTGCCTTGATGAGATTTATTAGTCTTCTGCACTGTGTGGAGGGAACATCCCATAGGAGTTAACTAAATAAGAGTAATTCCACAGTATTTCTGCAAAAATTCACAGATATGGATGTTAGCATTTTCTGAAAAAAGGTATGAAGTGATCCACAGTATTTTTTTCAAGGCTGTTCTGTTTTACATGGGAAAGGTAGCTGCCCACTGACTGGCCTTTAAAGTAGAACAGTGAAGTTTTGTGGCCTCAGTAAACAGCTGTATGAGGTGCACCAAAATGGCCTTTGATTTCTGTGTGTTTTCAGATATCCCCAGAAAGCATAATGGAGTCAAATCAACTTCACTTTCTGTATCCAAGTAATCCCACAGTCAAAATAAGTCCCATCAATGGAACAGTTCCATTCCAAATTAGTGCTGCTAATACTTGCGTATTTAGACCATCTTATGAGATCATTTAATAACAGTGCAATGTAATTACTAGATGTTACTAGTCTAACTTTTCCCGTAAAGGGTAGAAGGTAGAATGATATCAGAAAAGTTACCATTTCTTAATTTAAGCGAAGTAGTTCCAAATTTGTCCCACTGTGACATTTAAAATAGCTGTCAATTAGTAAAAAAAACAAAAAGGTGCTCTCAAGCTGTTACCTCTTGGGCTGTTGCACATCTTTGGAGACTAGGTTGTGACAAACTGTGTTGAGTAGATTGAATCTATGAGAAAAGAATGTATTTTCAGCTCAGCTTGTGCTGTCTCCAGACAGCATTGCATCTGAAGCTGTACTATGGAACAAAAAGGAGCACAGCTACACATGTATTTCAGAATGGTTTTTGCTAGTATTAATTTCAAAAGGAAGGGAGCTAATGATAAAATGCTCAGATATGGATCAGAACTTCCCCATCATTTTTAAAAAGGAGATGGAAGGGTTGGACTTATCTTCTCAATGTGGCCTGACTTGATATTCTTGTCACATTGGACAAAGACAGGGAGGTTCCTGGTGTGAATGTTGTTCTGATTCTTGATGAACTTTTACTTTACAAAAGCTGGTAGCATTTATTCATGGTTTAAAAAGCTTGTGCTGGAAGAAAAAAAAGCTCTGACATTTCTGCTTTGTCTTTTAAGTTTAATTTTAAATTCTACTTCTTTGGAAAAGCTGAGAAGTATTAAAAATAAAATAACTGCTTAATGTAGGCTAGAATAAGAAGGGCTATTCTGTAATTAAGCCTGCTGAATTTGTATTCATTTACACTAATCTAATTATTACTTTCTTTGAATGCTCTGCTGTGAGTCAAAATAAGCTAGAGCTGGATTTGAGAACCACAGAATGAGAAAAGTAAGCAAAAACTATGAAGAGATTTCTTTTTTTTGCATCTTTTGAGTTTTATGAGACTATAGCAAACTTTGTGTAGACAAATTACACTGCAAATGAATTCGAGAATATTGCATGGTTCTGCTTTTCAGCATGCTTTCCATTGATTAATAATGGCAGATTAACCTGTGCTGCGCTAGTGCTTTCTGAGGTTGAGGAGTCGTGGAACCTCAGTCCATTCGTACCTTCAAGGAGCAGCAAGACCATGAACTAAAGAACCTGAAACTGAAACATTGTAACTCTGTGGCATCACTTTTAAATGAAGCAAGATATTGTATGGATTAAATGATTTTGCATCTGTAAAGATATAGCAACCAATTTCTTCATTTCCCAAAGGAACTAATACACATTCACAGTCACTGTTCTGAAAAAAATACTCTGATTTGTGGTCCTGTATTTAAAACAGTTATGCTTCTTGGCAACTAGCAGATGCAGAAATGTAAAAGTAGAATAAGATATGTTTCTATTTAATTACTTTAACTAACCATTCTTCTTTGGATCACATAGCTTGGCAAGGGGTAGGGCAAGTCCCAGTCTGTCGACTGTTCAGTGCTGGCTACGGTATTGGAAATTACAAAGGCTGCAGTAGAACATGTATTCACATTTTTCAAATAGAAGTACATGTTAGGAGACTTCTAAATATATTCACCAAAGGAACACCAGGCAAATGCTAAATTTGTCCACTGAACCCAAATTTTGCATGTGTAGGGCACACAGTTGGAAATGATTGTATTTTTTAAAAATCTTGTATTTCATTTTCATGTATTCTGGTTTATTAGTGAAATCCTTCTGACCTCATTGCCATATATCCATGGCTGTTGTTGTCCATGCTTGCCTATAATCAGAATTATTCAAACCTGAACATACAGTGACCTTTTCCTATCAGCATTTGGTGTATGTTTTCACAAATGCACGTATTGTGGTAGTGTCTAGACTAACTGCAGACTGAGAGGAAAAGCATCTTTACTCCACAGAACCATTTTGTGGCACATACACAGAGCACATTTATGTGTAATATCTGATGTCAACACTCTTCTGTCACTTTATTACATATATATTTATGTATTACATATATTTATGTATATAGAGAGATGAATTGGTCTCTTAAAATACCTAACAGCTCAAATTACATTTAAAAATATTTTTTTGTTTTTAAATATTAATTAAATCTTAAAGATTAATTGTGAATTTGAATTTGAGATGCTTAGAAAAAAAGGAGAGAAAACCCCAGCCAAACCACAAACCAGCGTAAAACCTTGCTCTGGTGACTTAGATAAATAGCTCTATTTAATAGAACTATTTGTTATTGTTCTGTGCTTTATGCTGCACTGAAGCAGACATTGTCTGTGCCTTGAGCATTTTGCAGTAGTAGGGCTTGATCCTGCATGTCATAATGGTGATTGGTCTCAGTGTAAGTGGAAGGGTAAAACTAACAAGCAGAATAAGGGAGCTCAGGGGACCTCACTCCTGTATAATTGAAAGCATGGCTGGGCACTCCACTTACAGCAGTCCCATAGCATGAGTAATGCCAGATAATGGAGACCATAAATAAACAACTCATAATTTAAAAAATCTTCTTGTACTGGCATTGCCATTTTCACCACAATGGGAGGGACAAGAGATTTGAGTTTACATCTCTGCAATGCCTTGCCCTGTGCCTAGCACTTTACCTTACTGCAGCCCATGGCTAACAGGTGTTTAGGTTTAATTTGGAACCAAAAGCATTTTACCCAATCCCATCTGCCACAGGATTTGCAGGATTAAGGCCTAAATGGATGAAGTGTCTAAAATGAAAGGTCAGAGTACAATAGTATATGAAAGATGATTTGGTCTTCAATTGTACTTCCGTAGAGAATAACTTACAAAGCCTCTTACAAAGGCCTTTTTTTATCTGCTTGGTGACAGAAAAGTTACATCTTCCCTCATCACTTGTAATATTAGCATGCCTGTTAAATTGCTGATGAGATGCTCACTGTAAAGTCACTTACGTTTTTATGCATTTATTACTGATTTTGGTGTATTGTAGTAATGTACCATTGAAGATGATCTGGAGTAGCATGGCAGCATGCAATGAACTGTAAATCACATGGAAGACTTGAAATGGCTGTTTGAGTTTGAAGTGAGACTCAATAGCAAAGGTTATGAGAGTTGCTAATAGAGGCTCTTTGTTTTGCAGTGCTGCAGGGAGGAGCGCTGGATGGAGTCTACAGGCTGGTACAGTTTCACATTCACTGGGGATCCTGTGAAGGCCAAGGGTCTGAGCACACTGTGGATGGTGTGAAGTATGATGCAGAGGTAGGACATGCTTTGCCTTCTTCAGTCATTTGTGTATAATGAGTATTTATGTTTTTTAAGTATTCCACCACAGTAGCAACTCTTGTACAGATCTTCATAGGAGGAGGTTACCATAGAAGATTTGGTACAATGCCACCTTAGAACCTGCTCCTTGCAAGAGCAGAAATCAGAATTGGAGGACTTGTAATATTTCTTTTCTCAGCTACATCATGTCAAAGGGAAGCAGAAAAACCTGCATTAATTACCACTGGTTTTTTCCCTGCTTTCTCAGTGTCTCTTGGAAATGATGAAGGAATAGAATTGCAGCACCTCTGTGCACACACATCCCCTTTTCCTGGGTTCGATTTTTAACATCGGAGGCATTTGTATAAGCAACAGAATAATTTTGGGGCAGATAGGGTAGGCAGCAAAGTGAGATCTTGCAGGCACTCTAATACCCCTGAGACTTCAGATGTTCCTTGGACCACTTAAGACTCTGTATTACAGTCTGACTACAGAAACTGAGTGACTTTAGTGCCTTGCATCCCACCTTTCCTTGTCCCGTGTTTAGAAATCTACCTCTGGATGCTGCAACAGACTTCTAAAATGTATTCATAAATACACATTTACTGAACATACCTGTGATTTGCATTGACAGATAAAAGAAATGGCCCCACAAATTCATTGGCTCTCTGCTTTTTCATGAAGTAGAAGTAGCTTTTGTCTTATCTGAGAAACTTGCCATTGGCTTACGTCTTCACAGTACCATAATTACTTGCTGAACTTGACTTGCAGATGTGGGGAAACAGCCAGATGAACTTAAATTAGAAATAACTTAGAAATTAAAGAGAAAGCAACATCCTGAATTATGTGACCTGGAGATTCAAAGTCTTTCCAGAAAACGACAGGACTGGTTTTTGGATTGCTTTTTTTTTTATTATTTCTTAAATTGCTGGTCAGATCTATAGTTAATGTGTCTTCTCTGCTTCTTCTGACACTGACAAAAATGTATTTAAGTGTTGATAAGAACTCTAGTGTATATATAACACTAAAATACTGGATCAAAATCCTGCAGGCTGTATGTGGGAAAAACTCATGCTGAAGATAACAGGAGTTTTGCTAGAAAACAGAATGATACAGCCACAGCTTGCATTTAAAACTGTGGGAATAAGAGTGAGAAGCAAAATAAAATGCATTACAGAAATCTCTTTGCATAAATGAAACTTTAAAGTAGATGAATGATTCAACAAATTCTTAACTGTACACAAAAGTTTTTAAATTTCAGCAATAAAACTCCCATCTACTCTTAATAAATTACTTTCTGGCATCCTAATTTGTGAAGTATTCTGGATGGAATATCATCTTCAATGCACTTTGTTTTCTTACTCCTAGCTCCATATTGTACACTGGAATGTAAAATATGGTAAATTTGCTGAAGCTGTGAAGCATCCTGATGGTTTGGCTGTGGTGGGAGTCTTTATGAAGGTTAGTTAAACTTCTGTATCATTTGTCCAGCGTGTTCATTGTGTTGCAGAGGGGACCTAAGAGCCTAAAATATAGAATAAGGCAGCATTGTACTATACTGCTTAAACCCTTAGCAAGGTAGGTAGTACTCCAAATTCTCATCTTCCTTTACCTATAACAATTGTACACTAGCTATGGAGTTTGACTGCCATCCCTCACTGTGGCAGCCCTGTAGCAGCATAATGCTTTAACAGGACATTCACACTGCCATAACTCTTACCAGTGAAAGGTGATGTGCATAACTGACAAAGCTGTGTGTATGAATCTGCAGTAGGACAGCCTAAATAACATCTGTTTTCCTTTTCTTGTTATTGTTAAATGTCCAGAGTGTTTTGTTTCAGTTGAATTGTCTTCACAGCTAGTTGGAGAAGGTGTCTGTGCCCCAGGGATATGTAGTACTCAGTCCTGGCCTAACTGAGGGTGACTGTTTTATTAGGAGGGTGATTTATTTGAAAAAAGAACAGCCTAAATCTAAAAATAAATCCTCATACTGTAAACGAAAATAGCTTTATTCTGTCCAGTGTCCTTGGCTGACTCATCTGTGCTGACTGTCAACTGGCATGATTTTACAGAGACAGTCCCAGTCACTTATGCTGTAGTACTCCTGTTCTGTAATGAAACGGTGCTGGGAAAATGTTTTCTTGTAACAGAAAGCTAAAGGTTTCATGAGAGTGCATGGCGATTTTTCTTTTCATATGATTTGTGTCACAGGTGGGAAATGCCAAGCCTGAAATACAGAAAGTTGTGGATGCTCTGAACTCCATTCAAACCAAGGTAATATCTGCTGTCTCTGACTAACACCAGTCACAACTGTGCTGTGTTTTCTTCTTCAGAAAGCAGATTTTTTTACTTCTCCCAAACTGCTGCATGTGCTAAAGTAAAACAGACCTTCCGGCCATCAGCACTGGTGCTGCCGTAATCCTAAATGCAAAACAGATTTGAATGAAACTGTGGTAGAGAGCAGGGAGTATTAGAAACAGTGATCATTTCCTATCTCTGTGACTACATTTCTCTGTCTTTTAACTGCATCTAAACCTATGGTGTAGGATTTGTCTTCCTGATCTAATCTGCTCTTCTAGGTGCACTTTCTAGTCAGTGGTGACAGATGGAAAAAGTACTTCCCCTCATCTCTACATCTGTGGGATAAATTTCCTTCTTCCAAGAGGGCATGCTTCTTATGGCTATTTCTAGAGAGTCCAGATAAACAGTTTTTTCAGGTTATATAACTGTTAGGAAAAAAAAAAAGCCTTCCTGTATTTAAATGTCATATGCAGTGTGTGTGTGATACCTTAATAAAGTGAGTAATGAGAAACTTTAAGTACTTGCTGAGTAACTAGATACCTTCATAATGGGTAAAGGCCTGTGCCAATGAGAAATGTGGACAGAAAGGTAAAAAATGAGACTACACTGTCATCTTTGTCATCAGGCTCACTTTGAGGTAATTGGATGTTGCTGTTTATCTTAATAGACTTTCCAACAGGTCTCCCAGCTTCTATATTTCCAGTGCAGTCACTATAAATGGCATCTAAAATCTCACTGTTCTTCAAGCAAGGTCAAATGTTATCTCTAGGAGCAAGGAATGTAATGCAACATTTGAAATAAGAAACAATCTCTTGAAAACATAAAAAAAATACATTGCTGAGACTATTTAGTCCCAAATGTACTGTATTTGGTACTCAGTGCTTCATACCAAACTACATTTCTGTCTTCTGCCAAACATGGAGCTTCCAGAGGAGACTTCACTACTGCAAGCTCAGTGTGTGTATGTGGTCTCTCCCCTGACATCAGCCCGTCTGCTTACTTTATTGTAGGGAAAGCAAGCTTCCTTCACAAATTTTGACCCCACTGGACTCCTTCCTGCATGCAGAGACTACTGGACATACCCTGGCTCACTGACCACTCCACCTCTGCTTGAATGTGTGATCTGGCATGTGCTGAAGGAGCCCATCACTGTCAGCCCTGAGCAGGTAGGTGTCCAGTGGGTGGTGCCAGTATATGTGTTCTGGAATTACACTGATTGCATCAGCCCAGCCCACCAGGTGGTCAGTGTTACTGCAGAGCTATGCAGAGTATTAGCTAGCATCCCGTATCAAAAATACCTGTCTGAAGTGGTTATCCTCTTCTGACAGGACTCTGCTTCTGTGTGTGGAAGTTGAGTTTGCTGTAAAATGTAAGGCTGTCCTCTATTTGGACACAGTCCAGGGAAAACAAGAGGTGTTTTAAAAATTTCATCAGGCTTTCCAACTATATGGTTAAAGCTGTCATGTGGTAAAAATCTGGAAAATTGAGGCATGCATGAAAGGACCATTTGCACATGCAGAGTTAGTCTAGCATGTATTGTGATCATCAACTCACTGCACATGCACACACCACCTATCTGGGTATACCTGTGCTGAAAATAGCAGATTTGCACCTGGAGAGCATATATCCTGCCTCCAAAGTCTCACATTATAAATCTGTAGTTGGTCTGCTGATTTTCCAGCATTTTCAGGACACAGAGCTCTTTTTACAAGTTCTATTTGGCACAGAACAGACCTTGAAATCCTACGCAGAATTGTGACAATCCTAACAAAACTCAGTTGTTTGGAAGAGGCAAAACTTGCAGATTCCAGAAGTCTGCTGCCTAAGAAAATACTCTGTTGACCAGCTTGAGAAGGGTAGTCTTCCTAGCAGGAAGAAGCTTGTGTGGATTAAATCACTCTTGTCCCTAGCTTTCTGCACCATCCGTTAATGAAGCTACGTATAGCCAAGATTCCATTCTTGAGTTCAGATCTGTGTGCTTGGGAGATATAAATAGAATCTAGAGCCTATAAATATAAACTAGCCCTGAAGGGCTTTAGTTCAACCTTCCAACTCTTAAATCTCTCTCATCAATGGCAGACATGCTAACAATCTACACATAATTCTAGTGGATTTGTTTAGCTGATGTGGAAAAAAAAGTGTAACCAAGCTGTTGTGAGACTCAACGTAATAAAAGATAGAATACCTGGCGAGGAAGAACTATTGGAAATAATAGCAATAATTGCCATTAATAATCTTCAAGGGAGCATTAAAGTTTGCACTGTTTTTTCTAAACTGCTATTGATAATCCAAGGTTTGCAAATACAGTTTTATTATAGGGCAGAAGCACATTCACTAAAATAGAGTTGTTTTTCCTATTACACCTACTTTAACCACCTACAAGTGGTAAAAGACACCACTTGTTTCTCCCACACACCCCCCTTCCTATTACTATCAACATTTCAATGATGGGTTTGAGATCAAAACACTGTGTGTGTGGTAGCTTGCCTTTTCATTCCAAAACTGATCAAACCAGAAGCCATATATCAGAGTGCTGAGACAGGGTTTAAGTTGAGTAGGTTTTACAAAGATGGATAAAAGCTAGGTGTAACAGCAGGGTGCAGCAAACCTGTTATCACCTGTTGTAGTGACGTGGCAGTTCCTGGCAGAGGTTGAACTCTGAACCCTGTTTACGGTAAAGTCCAGGGGAGGCCGGTCACTGCTGAGGGCCTTACTCCTTGAGTGAGGGAAAGCCTGGTCTGCACCCTGACTTGTAGGAAATCCTGCGTCCCACCTGCCACCTACATTTTTTTTGTCAGTAGTTCCACCTGTCTGTGTGAGATCACATTTGGGGTGGGTTATTATTTTGGCACAACCTTTTAAAAGTTTTGGGGATGCTCATTTAGACACAAAGGCGTTTTTATTACATCAGACTGTGGAAACACCAATTGTACTTTAGGAACAAGGACTACAAATTTACAGTATGCTCCTATTGATGTGGAATGGTCTTCCCTCTCACAGTATTTGAAAATCAGGATAACTTCAATAAATTCAGTAGCTTTATTTTGACTCAATGGTAAGCTATCTTTTAATTATTATTATTTCAACTGGATCTAAAAAAAATACAGAAAGATACAAAACTGTACAACTTGCAGATGATTCTGAAAGGATTCAATGTAGTTCTGGTCAAGGACAAACAACATTTTGTCCACGGAGTTCAGAAAATGTGTGCCTATGTTCTTGTTTCCTGTGCTTTCAGTTGTTCTTGCTTTGATATTTTGTGGACAGGAGAGCCTGTGTCAGGAACAAGAAATGGTGTAGATCAATGCAGACACATAGGTGCTGACACCATCTCTAGACTATTAGTGCTGGCAAAACCAAGTTGGAGCTCTGGTTCAGGCCCAAGGTGTATAATTTCAAATAGTCCTGCTGAAGTGAAGGATACATTTAGGATATTTGTGTGTTTTTCCACAGATGTGCAAACTCCGTGGCCTTTGCTTCAATGCTGAGAATGAGCCCGTGTGCCATATGGTGGACAACTGGCGCCCATGTCAGCCTTTGAAGAGCAGAGAAGTCAGAGCTTCCTTCCAGTAACCTCAGTGCTGAGAGCATTAAAAGTTGCTGTGTTTGTGAGGGTGCCCTTTTGCTAAGCCCAAATCAGACCTTTGCCATGTGTGCCCTGGCAACATCTTGTCTCCGAGATCCATTTTTTCTTTTGCTCTGCGTCTGAAATGCCAGCTAATGAAATGTGAAAGGCTCTTGGCCAAATGGGAGAGGGTTCTTAAGGTGTGGGGTTGGGGGAGGCAGGGGGTGGGTGCTGTGTGCATTTTGATGACTATTACTGTGACTGACACTTTGGTATAACAGTATGTTGGCTGCTTGGGAGAGGATATGATAGCAAAATAAGCCATTTTAAGAAACCTCATCCACTGGTGTGATAGTACACGTAACTAACAATAACTTGAAGCTTTTTGAGAAGCACAGGAATACAGAATCTATCTATGACTTAGGAAAAAAAAGTATTTTGAGAAAGTAAAGCAAAATGAATATTTAGGATTAGACTTCTTAGATTTTAAGAAACTGACATGTAAATATTTTTGAGACTGTTTTGCATTTTTACCCATGTTATCGACAACCTTGGTTATATCTTAATAGTAGTGTTGGATTTTTTTAATTAAAAATGTTCTAAATTAAGTATTATCTTTAAAAGTTGTTATTACCATAGAAATAATACAAAATATCTTTTCATTGAAATAATATATGTTCTAATTTAAAAAGGAAAATAATGTTGTATTTTAGATAACTTCTCTAATAAATCTATACTTCTATTTTTGCTTCCATGCTGTTATTTTAATACCGGAAAGGAGTCACTAATCTGTTAACATTGTTGCATATTAAACATAATTACTAAACATACAGTATGTTGGGAATTGGTTTCAGTGACACCAAAGGTGAATGCAAAACTATATGGATATAGTAGGAAATTTCCTCTAAGTAGATATCTTATCTATGATAGCAGAAGGAAGTGTTAATTTTGAGCAATCACTACGGATTATCATCAAAGTTGACCATATAATGAAAGATCCTCTCACAAGACTTTTGAACAAAATTATGCTGAAGAACAGTCTCATTAGATTCTGGTCCTAGTTTTTAAAGCAATTTATGATGAGTTTTCTGCCCCATCAGGAATCACTTTGCAATTTATAAGATATCAGTTGGGGAGGCTAGGTTCTGAAGCACTTGGATCTTGAAATATGTGAGATGGGAATGAAGCCTTCTCAGAATGCATATAAGTATCTTTAGAAAACTGTCAAACCTCACTCTTTGAAAAGCTTTCACATTTAAAATGTCCACCATGTGATTTGTTCTAAGTTCAATTTTTTTTTTTATTGGAGCTGCAAAGGTCTCTCGCTCCAACAACTGTGCTGACTAATTGAAGTTCTTCATGTTGCATGGTTTGAATACTTTCTGACTCTAAGCATCACCTGCAGGCCTAAGTGCTATGTATTCTGCCTAAATAATTACACCTCTAAAATGGGAGTTATAGATCCAATACATTGTGGCTTAAAGCTGCTGAAGCAAGCTAAGAGGAAATAAATACCTTACAAAATCACAGGATGGCTGATGTTGAATGGGGTCTCTGAGGATCATGCTTCTGCTCAAGCAGGACCAGCTAGAGCATGTTGCCCGGGACCATGCCCAAATGGCATTTGAACATCTCCAAGGATGATTAAAAAAATTACTCTTAAAATTAATAAAATATCAGAGAGCCAGATATTAAAATTTTAAAGCCATAACTTGACTATGATATTCTGACTACTAGGTAATAAGACTTTCTGAGAAATAGTAATCTCATTGTTTCCTGTACAGCATAAATAGTATCAAGGCTGGTAGGTGACAGAGAATGTAAACTAATGCCTAGGGTAAAAATCTGGAAATGCCTCTGAAATTCTAGCTACTGCTGCAATAAAGAAACTTCATATCTTGTGCTCCAGCCCACTTTAAGGTTGCTCCATAAATAGTAGTTAACAGCAAAGGCAACCAACATCAGCCATATATTTATCTTTTTTCCATGAGGCTGTTTACCTGGAATGTTGCCAGTGCCATATGTTTGCCTTTGCTGAGTATGAAGTACTTCTGTATTCAGCCAAACAATGCAAACTCTCTTTCCTAAGTCACATACATGGTGTACAGGAAGAGCCTGTGGTATGTCTTACCTGTGTGTTCTACCAGGCAGCACTGTTCTTCATTCTTCTCTTCTTTTTTTTTTCTGTTAAGTGAACCAATTTGCAGAACTGCCTCTCAAAATCCTCACAAAAAAACCCTCTCCAGCACAAAATGATACATGGACTTACAAATTCACATTTTGTAGTTAGACTCTAATGACACAGATACCCTTTTCAAGGGAGATATGTATTAATTCCAACCCAGAAATAAAGAAAGCAGTTTCCCTGGCATTCATGATTCATTTCCTGAATAGTAAGTTCAATTAAGATAATGGTGAATCCAGTTCTTCTTTCTGACCTTTATTATTCTTCACTATTTGCCCATATGAAGAGTTTATACTGGGTCTTGCAGTTGTTCCACAACAGACTTAAAACAACACCCATTCTAACATCACACTCAGACCTGTTTTAACTGGCAAACTGTTTATGAATTCATAATGAAAAACAAGAAACCACTTTGGTCATGGAACCAACGTTCCACTACGTGTCATTGTGTTATTGTCAAGTAGGCAGCTCTGATTGAAGGGAAATTCATGTAGAAGAAGAAAAAAGAAGGGTAGTGTGTTAATTTGAAGTTATCCTAAGATAAGTTCTTTGATGGGGGAAAGAGAAGCACATTCAGTTGCAAACTGTTCATTTTGCACAGTTTGTGATCTTGTCTGGCACTTGTCTGCCAACTCCATGTGTTATAACATTTTATGATTTTTCCAGTGCTATTTCTAAGGCTTGGATGTGTCCTAGATTGACATGGGCGGGTAGACTGTGATTAGAGATGTTCCATGGAAGATAAGATAATAATGGCCTGCATGGAGCCAGCAATATTTATAGAAGTCCAGATAGTTTATAGAAGAGTATCACTCACTAAATGACAGCTTTAGGATTTTCTGACTCTTCAAAGAAAAACCATGCAAGAAACAGCTGTGTCAAATCCAGTATAATAGAAACAAACAGTGATGAAAGTGCAAGCAGTGGCTTTACTGAAAAATTCCCATGGACCCTCTAACATCAGCCACTTCCTCTTCCAAACCACAGCATCCCACACAGTCAAGTAGCACCTGGTGACAGTTGCTTACACTGACAGTTTGGTATATTTTAAGTCTGTTTGGGAACTGGATGCTTCACTGCTGTCCCTTCCTCTTTCTGTATGATTGTAAAGGACTGTGTTGCCTTGATGCCATCAATGGTTCACTCAGGCCATGAGACTTCCCAGCCATCAACTTCCTAAAGGCACAAGCACAAAACTTTTCAGGGATCTCTGACTAATTTTAGACCACAAGTTTTGCTTTTGTTTTTTATCCAAACCACAAAACAAAGCCATTTGGGGTACATCCCCAACCCAGTGTGGATTACAGTGTAGTGATTCCTCAAATTTTCATGTTCATCCAACATGGAGCTCTTCAGGATGCTCACTTTGTTCAGAGCTCAAAGCAGCACAGCTATGTTGCCTGAGCTGATGGACCAAGATGCTCAGCAGGGCTCAGTGCTAACAGGGTGTAGCTGTATTGCTCCTAATACCAGAATAGTCCATTTTGTCCAGTGGGAATGTCAGTGCACTCTGTCATATTAAGCAGTAAAAAGATATCCTCAGGACATTTGGAATAAGGCAATGTGTAAGCCTTGTCTTCATAATCTGGTGTGGTATGAGCCAGTAACTGCTCCTTCAAACTCATACCCTGAAACAGCAAAGAAATGCATTGACACCATAAGCGATAAATAAGTAACTAGAGCAAACAAATGGATATTAACTACATATTTTTCCTGAGAGGTAGGTTTTAATGAGTCTTGTAACATCTCTCAGTGTTCAAAGACCTGGCAAATTTGCTGCAAAGTACTGGTCATCTTCTGTCTAGGAAGCCCCAAGATTAGACAAGGGAAAAGACTGTGTGTGCCACGTAGGTACCCGGGACCGGTGATGACACAGAAATCTTCCCCTGTCTGTAGCTCTGTACAAAGTGTCTCTCAGAAGCACAACAGACACGCCAGGGCTGACAGATGTCACAGAAGGCAGAGCCAGGCTCTCTCTCATGGGCACTGATCTACTAACCCCAAGGCTAAAGGGTCCAAAGGGTAAGGACCCTCACTTGAGTGAAGTGGGGGGACTCCACTTGGAGGGTTCATCAGTGTAAGAACTGGAGCCCAAGACCAGTGAAGGATCCTCTTTGCTCATCCAGTGCCACCCCACCTACAGAGGAAAAAGCAGGCTGGTGTAATGATTCACTGCTCCACAGCTGGACCTCCAGAAGGAGTCCAGTGCACCTAAGCAGGGAAGCACTGTGGAAGCAGACTGCCCTTTCCAAAGTACATGAGGAAGGATAGCCAATGATCCTGGTTTTCCAAAACTATGTAGTAGCAGAATACTTTCTTGGAGTTACTCAAAGATCAGGGAAGAACTTCCTCTTTCCTTTGCTTAAATTCCTCTTCAACCAGCTGACTTGAACTTGATTCAAGAGGAACATGAGCCTATTTAATTGGATGGCATTACATCAGTGATGCAGGATATTGTAATTTGGATGGTAGATATCTTCACCATTAGCTGGATTTCTTTCAAAAAGTCACTATAAGTAGTCCAATTGCATTATTCTTGAATGACAGTCTTAAATGTATTCCTTGAGTTAAAATCAATACCTAGATGCCTGTAGATACTTGAACTGCACGTGTTTTTGTTGTTTTAGTGATTAATAATCATGCTCCAAGAAGGAAGATAAAAATAATAAAGATAATAAGAGCATTTTGCAGGAAAAAAAAAAGAGAAAAACAAGGCTTGAAAAAATACCATCCTCACTCAGAATCTGTTCTTGGGAGACATTTAAAAGGACAGCATTTTGCAGATTAGCTTAAAAGAGGGTGGTAAACACAATTTCCTCCTACTCTCTGTAGAAGTACATAAGACTTAAATGTTTTCTGACTAGTAATGAAAATCATACCCAGACTGCATTATGAAAGTGAAAATTTTAAATTATTCTTAGTCATAAACAAGCGTCAATTAATGATAATGCCTACAGATACAAAATGCAGTAATCCCAGAATGGATAAAATGCCCCTGCTGTGACTTCTTAAATATCACCTTCTGTTCTGCATTTCCTGATGTTCTCTCTCGCTGGAGAAGAACTCATCATATCATCGAGGGTATGGGGGAAGCAATACAAGAAATTAAGGCCTGATCATGAAAACTCTGATGTGACTAATCACTGACATGAGTAATCCCATCCATTAATTGAAGTTTAATTGATTTCCCACACTCATTGCACAGGAAAGGCCATTCTCCTTCCATGAGGAATGGAGTTTGGAGGCTGAATACCTGAAAGATCAGGTGTCCTGTTCCTTTCAATTTCAGTATAGAGATTTATCCTGAGGAATAGTGGGAAGGGGATAGGATGGAGGAATTACCTGTAGTAAAGGTGGCTAGACGTTCTTCATTTTTCCCCCAGCTACACTGAGGTTTCCCAAAGAAGTGAATGTGAACCAAGGGCTGCACTGCTCCCATTAGCATATCACTTGCATGGAGGGCTATTTTCAGGCCTTATATTCCAGATGCCACTTTAAAGTTGACAAGCACTGTAGTAGCTAAAGGACAAGAAAGCCATGAGTGGTGCAAGCTCCTG